AGTTGGTATACTTCACTCAAAAGATGGTCTTCACGCGGCGATGATCAAATACCTCCAGTCCTGGCTCATCTTCAACACGCAAAAGCCAACATTCACATACATGGATAACTGACCGGGCGGATGCGCGGTACACACGGATCTTCGTAGCGACGGAGACGTTGCGTCGGATGCATAGGCGTTTTCGGCGGATTTAGAAAACCCGGCGAGCGACATCGATTCGGGAGAAAAGGTGGTCGTTACTCTGTCTGTTTGGTAGCAGCCTCATACTGAAGTATTTAAAACCGTGTCCTAACGCTAACCAACCTAACTCCAACACCAACCCTTCTAGCCTCTACGCTAACCCTCCTAACCATAACCCTGATCCGGACCCTAACCCTAACACCGACCTTAATTATAACCTCTCCTGTATTTTAGCGCAAGGTCACCTGCTTTACCCAGCATCCCTGTTAATAAGAGCCTGAGAGATATTCAGGCGATCATACATTTACTGTCAGGCATTTAATCTCCAGTGACCAATCTCCTGAAACGTTAACTGGAATGCTGAAAGGTACTTTCGAGTAGGAAGTGTTAAGCAAATGGAGCTGTAATATCGATTATCATGCAACGGATAAGCGAGGATGCCGGCTCTTGAATATACGTCCTTTCGGATACCTGCAAAAACATAACTTGACATAAAATGACTACTTAAGTAGTATGCATTTTCTGTTGATTATACATACCTTCATAGATTCAAATATATTGTATAGAAAACGCATGCAAATATATCTTATCTTGAACTATATTTCTGGCAAATTTTGAGCACAGAGGACGAGTATACTTCTGTTTGAAAAAGGTGTTTCGATTCCTACATAAGTTTGAGTAGGATCTGCCGTTACACCTGAGTTTAGAGTCTTCAGTCTGCAAGCTGTATGCTATCCGTATAGCGTTTATTCCTGTATGCTGCTAAGAAGAAAGCATACGTTGCTCATACAATTTTGCAATAGAGGCGGAATATGTTGAATGCTTAATGAGGAGCAGTGGTGATGGATGGACATTGTACGGTCTTAAAAAATCTCATCAATAGAAACTTTGCTAAAACAGGGAAACTTTATTAAAGTATACGATTACAAGATGTGACTGACCATTAAATGAGCCCAAAAGGAATGTCTTTACTTAAATTTTCTATAAGATACGTTTGCACTTAAAAGGGCACGAAAATTTTAATACTACCAAAGGAGTCATTTTTATCGCGAGCTGAAAACTCTAACTGCAACTTTAACGAACTATCTAGCTCAAAATTGTTCGAAAATAGAAAAAACTTGAAAACCGTAATTTACACGTCCTTTGAGCTCGATGTTTGAAGACGGCGTGATTTGCTAACACAATAGCATTAAAAAAAAATAATACTTTTTCTTACTCTTTATATAGAATATATTTGAATGTTTAAGGGCTTAGAAAATCGATGTGGAAACTGTGGACTACGTAAGCATTCCTTTTTGGGTGTCCTGTCCTGTTCGGGAGGCCGGAAAGACGTGTATTCAAAAGCCGACATCCTGGCATATCCGAAATATCACGGGATTGCACCACACGATAATCGATAGTGCAAATTCTACTTAAATCTTCTTTCTTAATTGAAAACGCACTTCGAAAATTTGGTTAGTATTTCATGAGATCGGTTAAAGACAGTACTTTCGCGAGGACAGTACCTTTCGCGAGGAACTGCGGCCTTCGTTTTGACAGCGTTTCTACTTCATTCAAACAATTGACCAAATAATACACTCGAAGCTCCTAGCCTAATCGTGCGCAGCGCAGAGTCGGAGGAGGAAACGACCTCTCCCTGTGACCAATTGTAATTAGAGTTGTTTTGTGAACAATGCTGTGTAGGAAGTATACTCAAAGAGGTTATCTTAAAAAGCGAACGGGTAGTAGGAAACGCACCAGCACTGAGTGCTGGTCAACTTTTCGACACTCTGGACGCAGCTGCCGAGTGAAGAGCTCATTGAGGGTTGAGTACTCGGAGACCTTGTCTCGTTGGGCTTCTTCCATTTTGCAGCCCGTCAGTCGGACATAAGTACCAAAAATAGGCGATCGCAGAGGCTTTGGAATTTTCACATTGCCGACAGCACCCATGAAGTAAGAAAATGTGTTGGAAGGAAGTCGACGATATGTCATTGCCTGAAGGAAAGGTGGAAAAGGTCGAGATGCAGGTTAAGGAGTCCGGGACATAAAAAGTTAAGACGAAACTATTTTTATACTTTTGTCGCCGCGATTAGAGTTGACGCGGTCGAACAAGTGTGTTATTAGATAAAAAAGCTCACGTTTTCACTTCGTTGACATAAATATTCTGATAGCAGGTGATGCGAACTGGGCCACCTGCTGCAGGAGGCATTGCATTCACGCGCGTATTCAATTAATAGGCATATCGACCTTCCGGATGCCTACCTCGCATTGCGCCAACAGATCGAGGGCACAGGTCATTCCCGGCAGAGCTGAGATAAATATGCGGTAAGCTGTGCATTTTTCATGCCTTGACAATGGGCTCGCGTGAGAGTTCGAAACATCGGACAAATAAACCACTGGTCTCAGAGAACGCTTTACTGTCTTCTGTTCAGTTACCTCGGCTTCGCATATTCTCGACCATCCAGAACAGTTAATTCTCAATGAAACAGTATATTCACTCCACTTTATTGCAAAATAATCGGCGACCGCAGTACAGCCGAAG